GAACAAACACGTGAAAAAAATTTAGTTCCAAGTAATTATAAGAAAAAAAACACTTTTATATTTTAAGTAAGGTTGGATTTGATTTAAATCATGAAAAAAAAAATGAATGGATTTGACGAACCTCTTGCAGAGACTCCTTGGCAGATTGGGCAGCATTGCTAGCCTTGTCCATCATAGTGCTAGCCTTCTCCTGAACATCATCAACCAATTAATTAAAAAATCATATATCATACTTAGAAACAAAAACAATTTGCGACGGCACATTATGATCCCAATGCAAATGTTAATTATTGTTTTATCACTTTTACGATTTTACGACCACGCTATAATCATAGGATTACATGAGTTTGTAAATGACTAAATGAATATAAGAATTGATGTTCGTTTAGTACTAGAAATAAGAAATGAGCAACATCTGGAGTGCTTAAAATCTAGGCTTGGCTGAACCAAAATCGATCATTCATTTGGTTGGATGGAAATGTCGGATGAACAAACGAATAGACCCTAAATATGTAGAAAATCTCACACAAAAATCATTTGGGATCTTTAGTTAAGTAAAAAGTCCCCAAATTTAAAATGTTGTAAATGTTTTATAGATAGGCCAAAAACTTTTATTTGCTATATAAGATCCATAATATTATTTTGGGTCGGTCTGATAGCATAATAATATTATAGTTGAAGAGATTTAGGATTACCTGAGTTTGGCCTTTGGCCTGGCCGGCTTGGAAGCTGATGTTCTGGGAGTTGCTTGACATTTTCGAATAGCTTTAATTAACACAAAGATTAGTTTTTGTGTTTTTAATCGAAATGTGATAATTTATGGGATTGTATTGAGTTATGAGTTTCCTCCAAAGGTTTCATAATTTATATACCTCTCATGAAGCTTTATTTTCTGACATGTGTACTCCTAAGTTTTTGGTGTGCTTGACACTTGTTAGTAAAGTGCTTGTTCCTGATCACGTGGAGATTAAGACTTAAATTTATCATTAATCCGTCTTTAGTTCAGATCAGAGTTATATGGGAGTTTAACTCGTTTGTTGGATATTTATAGCTCAATTGACTCACTCTAATGAAGTGATCTCGTCTTTAGTTTTAGTTTTGTTTGATTTATTTATTAACTCACCTTTATTATTTCACAAGTGTTCTTTCCTTGAATGGCGTAACTCGTTTGGATTAACAATTCAATAGTGTTAAGTGGAGTTGCTACCTCTATAAGATTTTTAAATGTACAATTATTTCACGAAAATGTAACTATGCCATTTATGGAAATTAGTGGGATCCTACTAAAAATTTGGGTTCTAAGTGAAATGTTACAGAATGAGAAGAAGAGATATTTACATTTCAAGACCAAAATGTTTGTTTTGTTCATTAAAAGATGGAGAATACAAGATCTCAGTAGCTTTAATCTCTCATCTCCGACCCAAGATACTCGAAACTCTAATGTGAATATCTCAACATTGATCATGATCAATACTGAGCTTATACAATGACTAACTTCACAAGACCTCGCTTTTGTTCATTTCCCGTAAAATACTCTTCGATATAAGATATCTATCACCTACATGACTCCAAAAGAATCTCAACACTTGATTATCACCAGCGTAAGAGGCGCTGAGGGATTTATACAGTTTCAAGTTTACCATTAACCGTCGATTATACATTATATCGAACAAAGCAGAAGCTTCAGTTACCTTCCCTATTCTCCAATACGCATACGCCATGCTTGTGTATATAACGCTATCTCCCATTAAACCCTTCTTTTCCATTGATTCGAACAACATTTTAGCGTAATCCAACTGTCCTAACTTACAAATCCTTCTTATTAATCCTCTGTATAGAGCAACATCAGGACAAAGACCTCTTCTTTCAAACTCCTCTGGGAGTTTTGTGATTTCTTCTGGCTTGTTCTGGTTATAGAAACCATCCACGAGCCAATAATAAGTCGAATATCCTGGAGATAAACCTTTCTCTAGCATAGAGAACAGTTCCTCCTTTGCACTGTCCAGTTCCAGCACTTTACAAAACCCATGAATTAATGCCTTGTATGAATACATGTCCAGTTTTAGCCCCGAATCAATCATCTTCTTCTTTACCTTCACTGCAGATACCATGTCTCCGATTTTACAATATGCGTTGATCAAAGTATTGCAGGTGATGTTATCAGGTTCTATCTTTTTCCCACTCATCTCAGTCAAAAGACGGTTAGCTTCTCTTACTCTTCCATCTTCACATAGCTTACGTAGAATCGAGTTGTAAGTCACAACTCCAGGAGTAAACCCTCTTGCCTCCATTACCTCGCGTAACCTCAAAGCTTCATCTATATCATTCATTCTACAGTATCCATCAATCAAAGTAGTATAAGTAACATGGTTGGCCGTAACAACGCCTTTGATCTCCCGAAAAATCCTCGTCGCCTCTCTCATTCTACCTTCTCTACTAAACCCATGTATGAGCGAGTTATACGTGACGATATCAGGAGCAACCCCACTTCTCTCCATCCTATCTTGCACTGATAAAGCCTCGTAATGCATACTTTTCTTGCAGTAGACCGAGATCAACGTGTTATAAGTAAAAAGGTCAGGAAACACACCTTTCTCTTCCATCTCGCTCAACAGTTTCTCAGCTTTCTCAGGATCACCGGATTTAGAACAAGCATGAACCAATACATTATACAAATGAATGTTAGCCACAACACCTAACTTAACCATCTTCTTGAATATCTTCCAAACTGTATCAGTCAATCTCTCTTTCACTAATCTATTCAGTAACACAGTACAAGCCTGCAAATGAGGCTTCAAACCGCAACTCCTAATATGCTCAAACACCTCAATGGAATCATTGATCGTCCCAGATTTAGCGTAAAATATCACCAACCAGCTAAAAACGTGAGAAAGAACTTCTGGGTCTTCAGAAACACCACAAACCAAAGATCTCAAAACCAGAGGAGACGACAAAAGCTCTCTCTGAGACAATTTATCGAGCAGGTGGTGTGCGGTTTTGAAATGCTTGTGTTCTGTAAGAATCAGAATCATTTTCCAAGATGATTGTAAGGTATGTTTGCAACATGGAAACGAATCAGTCCAGTTAAAGAAACTCCATGAAAGAGAAGGTCCACCATAACCAGAATACAAAGAAAGCTCGGAGATTACCTGCGTCATTATCGCTGATGTTAATAATCCAGAATCAAGTTTCCGTTTTAGAATGTTTTTCCAGTTTCCTTTTAACACAGTTCCACAGATGCTTTGTGCAATTAGGGCTTCTCGATTTGCAGACGCCAAATTCACCATTCTTCTTGTTGCTTCCTCAGGTGATGTAACAGTGTGATTCGTGCAACCAATTTTGACATGGCCTAAACCGGAGGTGACAGAAGAAAAAGAGAAGGCATAAAACCGGATTGGACGAAAAAAAAGGCCGTAACCGGTTGAAACTTTATTGCAAAAACCAGACCGGATTGGAAGTTTAAACCATTTTCTCGACCACTTAAAAATATTAAAATAAATAAAATTTTCATATGTTTTTTTTGATCAATTTTACGTATAAAAAATATTAAAACTAATAGCATTGAAAAAAATATATTCAACATTCACAATACATATAACATTTTTACATTTGTAGATATTAAAATTTTTATGTTTTGTCGTACGTTTAAATATTAAAAATTATATATATTAAAATCGATTAGTCAACCTATTTAATTATTTTTATTTGGCCAGTCGAAATGGTGCCACGCTTTTAGATCCATTAAAAAACCTGGTGAATGGGCTAACGATGGCTACACTCACCCTAAGGGGATTAGTTTGGTGGTAAAAACCTTAATCACCTCCTGGTTATAAGAAAAAAATCTATTTAATTATTAAATTTCACACTACAATCTAGTAAAAATCTTAATCATAAGAAAGGGTAAGTGGCTAATAACCGCAAGAACTAAGAAAAGAATAAATGATACCTTTTCCCAAATGCTTTATTTTCTGAATTTAATGATGTTAAGAAAAGAACATTGGATTAGAAAGACTTCTTAGCCTAAAACGTATGGAAACTAAATTAGAATATCATAAAATTTGTACTTTTTTTGAAAAGCTTAAAATGGTATCTAATTCTCGAACGCT